TTTTTTTGCTAGGTCCCATTTTTCTCGCGGGCCCTTGGTCCAAACAGGAACCCCAAAACCCCGATTCTTCCTCTCAAACCCATCAAAAGAACGCCTGCTCTGCAGGCGATCTAAGTCAGGGCATGGCTAAATCACAGATCAAACCGGCCCTGAAACAACCTCTGGGCTGATCCAAGTCTGGGCATGGCTAACTCACAGATAGAACCCTGAAACAACCTCTGGGCTGGTCTAAGTCAGGGCACGGCTAACTCACAAATTGAACCCTGAAACAACCTCTGGGCTGATCAAAGTCTGGGCACGGCTAACTCACATATCGAACCCTGAAACAACCTCTGGTCTGATCTAAGACTGGGCATGGCTAACTCACAGATCGAACCCTGAAACAACCTCTGGTCTGATATAAGTCTGGGTACGGCTAACTCACAAGTCAAATTAGAATTTAGCGTGTTTGGTTTTGCGGAGGGGGAAAACCGGCGAGAAAAGAAGAACTCCACTCATAAGAGATACCGAGTCTAAGAATCGAAGCCAAGGCCCCAGAGGTGAGAAGTGAGCGTACTACCGCTATACGCCAACCTTGACTCCTCAATTTAGAAGGCAAAAGCAGGAGGCTAGGAAATGAGAAAATGCCGTCCCAATTCCCATCTTTTTTTCTTGCTTTACCTAAAGATCTTCACCTATATTATCACTAACCCCACAATACTATTTGATGTATGGATGTATGCATTCTATTGCCACGCAGCTAGCTCTCCTTGTTCGGTCGTGCACTATCAATGAATAATTCATTAACGAGGTAACATGTCTCCAACATGCTGGATCCTGATTGAACCTTTTCGAACTCAGGTCTAGCAAGACAAGAAAAAGACATATTAATCTACTATTTTGGTGGGTGCATTGGTGAATATTAGCTGTAATAGGGATAAGGTCAAAACTATTGTTTTCTCATTGGGCCTGATTAAGAGGCGGAGGGGTGGGGCTACCCGGTATGCGACTTACCCCTCTGCCAAGGTCTTTTCAATGCTTTGGTTTTCCAGTTGTCCACAGACTTGCTCGAAGACTTCCTCTCCTAACGCACCGATCACTTGTCTAAAGCAAAAGGATGAACTGTGTTATGAGTATTGGTCATGGCCCGCGCTTCGGTAAATATATAGCCCTTATTAACAGAGTGCGAGGTTCGTAACGTAACTTATGGACAGTGTTTTTTTCACTGCCTTATGACCCAAGCGTGTAGCGCGCAAAGTGGATAAAATCGCAAATTGGCCAATCATAGCGCGTAAAATTACTTTGCCATATTATAATAAAAGCAAGCATCTACGCGCACTCTTATTGTTCAAAATGCCATTAAGATGAAAGTATCTGAAGTGATCTCGTTATTTCTTTTTCCGCGCTCGTTGAATTAGCACTTTCATGCGGTAAAACGTTTTTTTTTCTTCTTTAATTTGTACGCTTTTTATTTCATAAGTATACCGTTGATAGGGAAATTCATTTTCTTAACTGTTCCAATTCAAATGAAAACTTACTCTTTTAGACGTTGCCGGCGGGACCCAGGCTCAAAACTGTCTTCAACAACATCTTCCTCTGAAGAAATACAACAAGAGACATTTTTATAAACTTAATTTAAGGAATACGAGAAGCGCGCATGTTTTTGTACCGTTAAACACGCTGGGGGCTGTAGAGCAAGAGATAACAGCTTCCCGCGCGTTTATATCACATTACAGAGACATAAGCAGCAGGTTTCTATTGCTTTTATGAAATATTTTTGAGCGAGCGTGTCTCTGTCCTCTATTATAAACACGGTAATAAGCCAATCAGCGCGCGCGTTATATCTCAATTATTTCATTAAAGTAAACAAAGAACAGAAGTCTGACTATAGACCTAATCGGCTAATGTGTTGCTATAAACGTTTCCACCCAATTCAAACCACATGGGAGTAAGTTTCATTGTTGGTTATATTTTGGTTTCACAGTTAAATTCGTAGAGACAAACGCTTCTATTCCCAGAAGGTTTGAATTGGGTGGTAACGTACATAGCAACAAGTTAGCCGATTAGGTCTATTTACCTTTGGCTTCCTGTGCAGCTCTCGCGTTGGCCAAAATGTCGTCCAAAACCTAGAAACGATTAAGAATAGATAAATAAACTGATACCAAGATATACGACATGCCGTTTTTCCACTCTCTTTATGATTAACGCACTGTTAACTCACACTTTATTCTAGTTATATAATGGTTTAGAGTGGAATACCATGGAGGCATGAGGCACACTTTTTTTTCTTTTATACACACCAGCCTTCAGGAGGGTGTGTTTACTAAGAAAATACAAGTGACGGGTAGGATATTCCATGGTATATCATAAAAAGCATGGCAGAAGTATTTAATCTCAGAACATTGAAAATTACCAAGTATTTAGTCAAAAAATTAAAAACACCGCAATTTCGAATGGGAAGGAACCGTGGAATACGCAGAACATATAACGGCTTTCCTGCATTTTGATTGTCTGTATTTTCAAAGTGGGTGAAATGGGGCAGGGCTACCAGGGGTAAGGCTTTTATTTAACTTCCAGTCGTCTAGATTATAATCTAATAAAGAAACGCAATAAACAATGGCTCTTATGAGCCGAACCTAATTAAAACAACGGATAACAAGGTGGGTCTTCTTTGATGTCATTAGGTTCGGCTCATGTGAAGTTTGACGTTTGATCTTAGCCTAACGCGCACGGTGAACCTTTGATCAACCTAACCTCTTCCTCATCCGAATCTTCCTCGAAGTCATCCGGGTATTCGATGTCATCATTACTGCCTTCGGCGTCTCCGAGTCCCGAGGGACTCGAGGAAGCTCCCATAGGCTTTTTCTGTGTCCCGTTTAAAGCCGTATCTTCCTCGAAGTCATCAGAGTAAGAGGCCTCTTCTTCGGCTAGTTCATCAAAATCGTCCGAGTAATCACTGTCAACCTGCTCATCTCTGTTTTGGCCTAAGGAAAAAGATAATGGTGAGTTATTATCGTTGTTTGTTTTTCTCTCTTACAACCTTAGTTTCACCAAGCATCAACTGCAAAAAAAAAAGTTTTTAAGTTAATAAGTTTGTGGGAATCAAGGGGTTCTTAATCAAGTGTTTGATTCCTGGACACACGGGATCACATGTGAGTTTTTATGCGTTCTCTCCCTAGATTAACACAAGGGTTTTTCTCCAGGTTTTTTTGTTCTCCTCCTTCTGCAAACAAACCCAAATTCGTGCCTTGATTTTGATCAGCCCAGAGGCTGTTTCAAGGTATCGATAAAATTCATTTTTTTAAAGAAAAATCTTGGATTACATGTACCAAAACCTTCACCAATTGTTTTTGAAATAGCTGTCGACTCATATCCTGGGCTCTCATATTTGAGAACTTACATACCGCCGCCTGCCAAGTCATTTTGTTCATCATGTTTGACGTCATCTGTTGCCATAGGAACGTTTTTTGTCGGAGTGGCAGAATTTGAACGTTGTTTGCTTATTTTGCTGAAATCTGGAGTGAGCCTGGATCCCACTGCTGATGATGACCGCTGCGGATCTTGGGTAATTGCTTTTGATAGAAGTCCTGTTGACTTGAGGTGATTTCTAAGAAAGTGAAGAAACACCAAAAATCTAATACAGCAATCATTAAAGTGCCTGTAGGCCTTCGTTTTTCCCTTTTTTTTTTTTTTTTTTTTTTTTTTTTTTTTTTTTTTTTTTTTTTTTTTTGGCAAAAAGTAGAGAATGTCAAAACTTCATTTTCGAAGGAATTTTTATGATTGGACATTTTCTTGATTTTTTATAAGTTTGAAAAATTGTGGTTTAGCCAAAAAATTCGCGCAGTTCAGGGGAATGATGGCACTAATACAATTAGTGACGTAACTTAAGGGTCATTTTCTTGAAGGGTGGCGTATCGCCTCTCTCCTTTGGGGTTGGGTTCGATTCCTGGGCCCAGTTGCATAAAGCTCTCTTAAGATAAAAAAGCTTTTTAAAAAACACTCGTAAGTATTGTCTTAGTACAATGGCCTATTGTTTTGGAACAATACTTACGGATGCTCTTATCTTAAGAGAGCTTTATGCAACCGGGCCCAGGACTCGGCAGCACATATAGAGTATACATATAGAGAATGTCAATATACGGTGTACCTTGCGAGTAACGCCTCTTGTAAATTCTCCTTTTCCTTGATAAACAATCTTAGATGGTCTTGAACATACGGGGTGTTTAAGATGGCTCCAGCACTATTAATATCAAAGCAAAAAAGAAATCTATAGACATGTACTTTATTATTTATAACGATAGTGCAGTTTTCGTATGACTGTGAAAAGTTCACGGCACGAACACGATCGTGACACAGCAAGGGATACGCCAGACAAATCACATTGCATGAGAATTTACTCTCCATCCAATCAAATACCCGGAACATGGCATGAACACGGCGCGGACACGGTCACGCCAAGATCATTGCACTTTTAGATCAATCATATCGCGCGGGAAAACAATCAGCCCGGCAATTAAAATTCTAGAAAGTATCACGGTCACGGCACGTAACGCTTACGGCACTGAGCTTTTCACAGTCATACGAAAACTGCACTATAAGAACATGCGTAATAGGTAAATTACGAGCATTGTATGAAACGACTGAAGAAGAGGGCTAAAGGGCCTTTCACATCTACAAATCGCGTAAAAAATGAGCCAGCTCAACTAGAAACCGTGGACAGCTGTTTCAGCTCGTAATTTACCTATTACGCATGTCCTTATATGATTTCCGAGCCCATCCAACACGGCTTACCGCCTCATCTCTATTTCTAACGATGAATATTACAAGAATGATTAAATATTTTTTTCTCTTTAATTCGGTTTTCTTTTCCTTATTTTTAGTGCTGTTTGATTGTACAGCCATTTCCATTTGTTCGTCAACTCTTTTTCCATCTATTATCCCCAGCCAATAATCCAAACCTCTTTCCCTCATGATTTCATAGGTTTTTTTACTTCATGGCATACCTTGGTCGTTCCTCGGGCTTTTTGGCCAGCATTTGACAAATCAATTCACGAAGAAATTGTGAATACTGCTTTGGGATTTCCTGACAATGAAAGAAGGCAGAAAGGTTGCTTACACTGTAATACTAGAGGGTTCTTTGTAAATTTCTTCTTGGGGTGCATTAGAAATATATTTCTGGAATCCTGGGATTTTTCGTAAGTGAAGTTTGCTTGAGAGCGGGGGAATGGGTGTAAAGCTGAATTCTTTCTGGAGTGGTAGAGGGAAAAGTGATGGTGGAGGGAGTGATAATTAAAAATCTCGCGTTCTGATTGGTTGTGAGCGTGCTTTATGAGAGCACGCTGCACACGCACGCGCTTTCAGTTGCGTCATTCCTATCTAAAATAACAGTTATTGTAATTTGCATTTTATAAAAGAAATAAAAAACTTGCTGTACGTTGTGAAGTTATAAAGCACTTGGGGATTGGCAGAACTCTCGAAAAGTGTAGAGAAGCACCCCGCTATGCGTTCTGCTCCTCCTAACACTTCTCTCGTGTTCTGCCAACCCCTGCGTGCTTTATAACTGCACACAGCACGTGCGCGCGTTTTCTATTTCTTCATTATGGCCTGATGATTACAAATGAGATGACTAACCTCTGGTTCGCCTTTAACGATCTTGTAAAACAAGTTAACAATATTGTTAGCATCAAATGCAAATTTCAAGGCACACAATTCATAAAGTAGGCAGCCCAGGCTCTGAAAAAGAAACCATGAGTTTTTATATCAATATATTCTTACTGTTAGGCACAGGCTGTATTGAGGTGAGAGAGCTTGACTCTCACCAATGGGACCCTGGTTTAAGTGCAGCAGGGCTTGGTGTAAAGTTGTTTGGTGGTTCCCTCCTGTGCTTCAAGGGTTTTTCTCTGGTTTTTTCAATTTTTCTCCCTCTGCAAAACTCAACTTTTAAATTTTAAAAGGAATTCAGTGGATGAAGAGTGACTCTGTGGAACCATTGCTATTAATCCCATTTAATATCATTTATTACTTTTATCAACATCATTATGTTCTCAACCAAATGATTATGTATGAGAGAAAAATTCTAGATTCTACAACCTTCACATATTCTAAAACAATCAGGTGCATTTCTATTTTTGTAGCTTCCTCTACTCTTCTTCTTTTAATTCTTTGTATATTATATTTCCTTCCCTCACCAAGCAAGTTCCTTCCCACACCAAGCAAGCTCTTTTCCACACCAAGCAAAGCTCCTTCCCACACCAAGCAAAGCTCCCTCCCACTCCAAGCAAGCTCCTTCCCACACCAAGCAAAGCTCATTCCCACTTCAAGCAAGCTCCCTCCCACACCAAGCAATGCTCCTTCCCACACCAAGCAAGCTCCTTCCCACATCAAGCAAAGCTCCCTCCCACACCAAGCAAGCTCCCTCCCACACCAAGCAATGCTCCCACACCAAGCTAGTCTCCCTTGCTCACCTATCAAGGCTGCATCCCACACCAAGCAAGGCTTCCTCCCTAACCTAGAAAGGCTCCCTCCCACATCAAGCAAAGTTCCCTCCCACAATAGGCAAAGCTTCATCTCACACCAAGCGATGCTCCCTCTGGTATCAAGCGAAGCTTCCTCCCACACCAAGCAATGCTCCCTCCCTCACCTAGCAATGTTTCCTCCCTTAACAAGTAAAGCTTCCTCCAACACCAAGCAATGCTCCCTCCCCTATCAAGCAAACTAAACTCCCTCCCTCACATGGTATTATGCAATTGCTGGTTAGGATACACCTGAAGTTACACTCACTCACCCACACATCATTCTTTGAACTGTAAGGCATGTCTTGGCAGAGTTCTGGACTGAGGTAACAGGGGGTCCCACAACAAGTTTGTGCCATATCTATTGTACTATCCATTGTACGAGCTATACCAAAATCTCCTAAGGAAATTGGAAAAAGAGGTTATTGTTATAATAAAGATGATGTCATGACGATGATGATGATGTCATGTTGATGATAACAATGATTAATAAAGTGAAGTGAGTTTATTCCTTGTACCTATCTTTGCCACTCCTTTCTTTGTCAGGAAAACATTCTGAGTCTTGAGATCTCTGTGCAGAATTTTGTTAGCATGGATGTGGTGAACTGCCATAGTTATTTGTACAAACCACTAAAACCAAACCAAACCAAAATACATATTCACATATAGATAAACCTTACAGTAAATACGAATACAGGAAGGTGTCAGGGCTCAAACCTGAATTTCTATTTCTTAATATCATAGTTAATGGAGCGGAATGGTTGGGAAACCTATTGTTCTATGTTTTTGTTCGACTTTATCCATTGTTATATGACGTTGACAGTGCACAGTGAAGGAAAAGTTTCTCCATTTGTTCATAGTATTCAGGAATATAGAAGTTTTTTACCCTTAAAAATCGTTCTAAAATACTTATTATTTGTTAATTAATCCTATATGATTAATACAAATTATTTATTGAAAAGGAAATTGCCTTTCTTCATGCTTTCTTATTTATCATCCAGTAACTTACTGTATCTGCGCAGAAATATTTATCCGCATAGTTTGTGGTCATCATATGAAAGTTTTTACTTTCAAAACGTTCATACATGAAAATAATAATGAAATGAGTATTTTCAGCCATACTTGCTTTGGTTCATTGTGCACCATCAATATCACGTGATGGTATGGTTCAACATCAAACGCAAAACAATAGCTTTGTTCTAAGGAGTTTCCAAACCATTCCGCTCCATTAACTATGTTAATATGAAAAAATTGTACAGATCCAGGAAACATTTACTTGCAAATATTTGCTAGTAGATCTTTTTTCAACCAGCAAAGTCAATAAAAGCCTTGGTGCTTGCTATTTACTGTCCTTGCTAGTGCTTATTTTGAGCCCTGGGTGTCCTTCAGTGGTACTTTAATAAATTACTGATTTACAGTGCAACTACAGCTGTACCAAGGCCACCCAAACAAATTTTCAATTAAATTCACAAATCAGATTTTTTGATGCCAAATAACAGATGAATTCTGGATTTAAACTGCTTTTTGTTCACTCCTGATCATACACACACTAATATACTAAAGTAAAATATATGCTTTTAAAAGAAAAAATGTAAGAATTATTTGTACCGATTCTATTGCTTAAATACTCAATCGTGATTGGCTAGTTTGTGTGAAAATTTGACTGGGTGGCCTTGGTTGGCGTAGCCGCACTGTAAGGACCAGGTGTTCCAAACAATTTCCTATTGTAAGTTTTCTTTAGGCTTACTCTAGCTCTAAGTTAGATGTGATGTGTTCAGTAGTTTCTGTACTTTCATTTGATTGTTGTCTCTGATTATTTTAATGAACACCAAAGCTTAAAAAAAACAGTAGAATAATAACTGACCTATATCATTATGACCTCACAGCTTGTTTACATTGGCAAGAGTGATAGGAATTTAGGCAAAATTTTCTTTCGTTCGAGATATTTAGTACAACATTTATCTGTTATCACCTTTCCCCGTCTAATTAACCATTTTTTATTGTGATTTAATTCGTTTTGCCCCTATTTTGCCCCCTCTGGCGACCATGATCCTTAGCGTTAAAACAACAGATTGTTTTGATGTGACGTCATAGCGTTATAGGGCAATTGTATTATGACAAATTGTACACTGCAAAGCAATGCTTTTTTTATTTTTACATTTGTACAAGATACAGTGTATAATTACCTGCATGACCTGACTTTCTGAAATAAGTGTATTTTTCTGAAAGAATAAATAAATCCAAAATTTAAATTTTTTAAGGATTTTTATAAGTTATTTACTATATTTGTGTTACAATTTTTTCTGGAAACTTTTGTTTCTATCCTTACAGTGTAGACAAACTATCCAATATCAACCACTTCCAAGACCTTCTTGGCTCGGGTGTAATGTTGTCCCATTTAAGACCATGTGTCATTCCCTAGAGTATCCTTTCTTTGTTTAATGGTTGCGCTCAGTTGCACATGAAAATGAAATATGAATACAACTCCAACAAAGAATCTCATTCTCAAGGGAATGACAAGTGGTCATGTGGGACAACAGTACGCTCAAGCCGCAGAGGTGTTTTTTTTACAAAGTTAATCAATAATAAAAACAAAGAATTCCAAATAAGCCAAACTCAAGCCAATCAATTAAGATACTGTATATAAACAAACCCTATATTTGATAATATATCTGACTAAGGAGTTTTAAGATGTTATCAACAGCTTTTGAAAATAAAAATTTTAAAAATCCATATTGTTGTGCTTGACCTAAATTTGCTGATTCCATTCACATCACCCATGGTGCATTTACAATATACAACAAAACCTTTGCAAGCCTCTTTTGAAATAGCTGTATTATATTATTAAGAATTTTTGGCACTCACAGATTTAGCAGATTTAATACAATCCTCCAGTGTGCCACCATCACAAAAGTCCTGTACAATGAAAAGCTGCTCTTCCTGGTCATCTAAGAATGACTCCAGCATACTCACAACATGAGGATGCTTTAACGATGCCAAAATTCTGTGAATTTTATTTTAAAGTTAGTTACTGCGGTTTTCATAAACATGTGAACTTGGTTGCTGTGAGCTTCATGCTGAAACTTGGCAGTTTTTCGATGCCGCCAGTCAAAAATTTGAAAGGTACTGACTGATTATTTTTTATTGACAGCAGCAAAAAACTACATTTTAGGGTGTAGCTGGCAGCTACCAAGGTTGCATGTTTATGAAAATGTCAGTATGATGTTTGCTGTACCCTTTGGGAAATATTGTGTCCACTCTGAGAAGCATTTACAGTACAAGATATTTCAATAGGAATAGAAATATTAAAAGAAATCCTCAAATTAAGGGAGAGACCTAACAAACTCTATTCACAAGACAAAGTGATGTTGAGTCCAGGAATCGAACCTGAGACCCTAAAGGTAATAGGTGAGTGTACTACTGTTACTATTGACAGGTGCATGTTTGTCGATTGTAGTTGATAATGCTAACTTACTTTGCTTCTTTTTGTACTGCTTCTTTAGTTTTTGTCTTCTTTCTGGGGTCTAAAGTTATCTCTTTTATGGCAACATGTCTTTAAAGCAAAATAAGTTTTCTCCAATTAATATTACTGTAAATCTCACTTCTATGTTATAGATCCATTGTATGTGACATCAAAGCAGCTCAAATTGAAGGAAAAAACAAAAGAATTTCAATCTCCTGAGAATCGGTAACCTATTGTTATGTCCTCCAGGTTAATCTGCATTCTGACATGCTGTAGGGGGTTTATTGATAATTTCTAATAATTCCTAAGACATATCTATTGAGTACTATAGTCTACAATGAATTTCCAGCAGTCTGCTAATAGAGGTGCCTGGGCATAAGGCTGTGTTCATAATGCATGCCAGAGGGGGAGGGGGGCAGGTGAAATTGAGGGGGTATTGGAAATCCCCTTCCTGCCATACATTATGAACACAGCCTAAGTACTTCTGGTGTGGGATGGAGGGGTACAGTATAGAGACTTTTTGGTTGGACAAGTATATATATTGATTAGTGTATTAAAGTAAAATAGAATTCACAGTCTCAAAGAATTTGTGAAGAAGTTCTAAGAGAGGATTTCGAACTAAGAGATAAATAAGATTAAGTGGATTGTACCGTCTTAAAAATATCAGACTGAGTGTGTACAATCAAACATTATAAGCTTAATAATAATAATAGGTACGCGTATTCTCAAAAAGTACAGAAGAAAAGCTATCCCTAAAACAAAACACTTACTTTCCGGACTCTTTTTCCTTTGCCAGAAGCACTTTACCTCCGCCACCAGCCCCAAGAACTTTAACTACTTCATACCGTTCCATGACAGAAATTTTGTTTATGACATGCAGAACTTAGAGATTATATAAATCTCATATACATTTATAATTACTTTAAAATTAAGCCATTAGCTTAAGGAATTATAGTTTATAGGTAAAATATGATGTATTTGGAACGCTTTTTGCCATGTTTGGGCACCAAATAGTAGACACTTTTGCTATAATTCTTTTAAAACAAAACAAAAATGATTCCCTACGACTTCAAAAATAAAAGCTATCTGGTAACCAGGCCTACGAGAAATCGATAACCAATCGATATTTGATTAATCTTTGATTATAAAATCATAAGTCAAAAGTGAAAATTTTTTTACACAAATTCTAGCAAATAATTGAAACAAATAAAAAGGAAAATGTAGAACTTGATAAAATCTTTCTTTATTATACTTGGATTTTGATATCTTTATACGGTGGAAAAGAAACAGGCATCCACAACGCTGAAAGTACTCAACTGCGCGCTCCTTTCGATACGACACGTTAACTTCATGCATGGGGTTCAGATCAAAACACTTTTTAATGTAAAAATAAACTATAACCTTTCGATTTCTTTTTTTTTTTTTTTTTTTTTTTAAATTCATTTTTTCTCGAGACTTTTTGTTGAAAAATAAATTGGGCTACCTGTGGATTAAAATCATCATCTCGCCATGCACGATGGGATAGGATATCAAGAATAAAGTCGGAAGGTCATAAGAAATTTTCTCTCTCCATTTAACCATAAATAACTACTAGAATACCCTTTATATTGCCATACAAAACAGCCAGTATGTCAGTACAAACATCAGGACCTCAAGTTCCACAGCCAAAGTCGTGGGGTAAGGCAAAAGAATTATGATTTTAAATCGTAGAATGTTGAACTTTATGACAGACTGTGAGATCAAAAATGGAAGGTCGCATGTCAACCTGGATGTTAAATCGTTTTGATGTAACGCTTTTTATTTAATATGAAGTTCATATATTACATTTTCGACCACATATCATAATCTTTCTCGCTGGTATGTTTTTATTCTTTAACATTTTTTGTTCAAAGGTTTTTAATACCTCTATTGTGAAAGGACAGGCGCTTTGTTGTCTTCATTTCATCTATAGACAAAACACGTTTCCTGACAAAAATATGTCTGTATATTTGCCTGAACATTGTTGTCTCGTATTTAATAGCATAATTTGAGATTGATAACGAAGGGAATTCATAAGGTTTCTAATTTGTTACTTTAATTTCAATTCCCTTTTTGGTAAAACAAAATTATATCTTTGTCTGTCAGTTATACATGTAGTATTTTCTGTTTCATTCTCTCACATTTTCAATAAAATCAGAAAGTTAGTCCCCATAAATTGACAATCATATTCCAATTACCTTTTTTTTTTAGATTCTTGGAAAGCTATAAAAAAAACTTGTAATTATTTCAGGGTATCAAAGGCATTTGAAGGCTAGTTCCACACACACTAAATTTACCACTACATTTAAAGCACTTACTGTAACACTTTGATTTCACATTCACAGAACTTAGTCTATATGAGCTTCATCGCACTCCTCAAGACTCAATAACAGATGACACAGAGATATCTATATCACCACGTAGCCTTCACAGTGAACTAATGTGTCCAATCTGTCTGGACATGCTGAAGAATACCATGACGACAAAGGAGGTTAGTATTTTTTTAAAATTATTTTCAAGTGTTCATAAGTTGATTAAATATTTCAAAAGTGAAGGCAGTAAATGCTTAAAGATAAGTTTTATATCTCTGTGTGCCCTTGGATGCAGGCATATACTTATAGAATAGAATACTGTACTTAATTTCACATGTACCACATAGGGGCTTATACAAACTTGTTAAGATGTGAAGGTTCTGTTGCAAGCTGCATTTTGCACAACAAGCTTGAAATATGTATTGTGGATCACATGTCAATACTGTAATGTCAGCACTGAAGTTGTGGTCACCATGCACCTGTCATAAGAGTTTTAGAGTCATTTGAATTCATTCAATTTTCAATTCAAAATTCCATTTCAGTGTCTTCACAGATTTTGCCAAGAATGTATCATTACTGCACTGAGAAGTGGGTAAGTTTATATGATGACTTGACTGTATATCATACGGACTAATACGTATGGCAAAATCGTACAGGGAAGCTAGTACATGGGCTATGCATGACACGTGATCTGGCTAAAATACAGTGCAGGATATGTGAAAATAGCAAAGTGCAGAGCATAATTCGTGAATTCAAGTTTTACTGTTAGGTTTGTTTCTTCTCTTGAAATGTGTGTTTCATGAATGATTGATTAGATTTCATGAAAAAAAGAAAAGAATTCAGATAAAAGTTGTGGCGCATGACTCCACTGTTAGTACATACATGATAAAGTTTAGGTTTTTTTAAAAAAAGGTTACTTTTTGTCCTTAAGTAGCAGTTTCCAGACTCAAAATATTTGCCTTTACTTAATATAAAGTTTAATAAGAAAATAATGCATTTGTACTATTTCTTATGAACAGAAACAAAGAATGTCCAACATGTAGAAAAAAATTGGTGTCAAAAAGGTCACTGCGACCAGATCCAAACTTTGATGCCCTGATCGCAAAGGTATGTTTTGTACAGTAACTTCATTCAGTTGTACACTATGTACATATCTTTAAATAAAAAGAACAACAAAATATCAGAGCCATAGTGAGCCTTGAAAAACGGGGAGGGTACAACGTCACGTCGTAACATGTGATCACAAAAAAATGAATATTCAATTGAATCCTTAGATATTACTTAATGGAATTAACAAAACAAGTCATCATAATCTGTTACATTTGTTTCCTTTTCTGGAAAAAGCTGGGGGGGGCACTTGTCCCCTGGCCTCTATAGGTGCTACGGCCCTGAATATTCACACGCATTTTACTCTAAAACCCTTCTGGCCTGTACTGTACTCTACTAAATGGGTTATAAAATTAAAAAATTAATGCAGTCCAATTGATTTTTTTTCTCTTCTTTTTCTCCTAGATTTACCCAGACAGAGAAGAATATGAAGCTCACCAAGTAAGTCTTTACTACCATACTACCAAAGTCAGTTATCTGCTAGCACCGCCAATCGGGGGATCAATCAATTTTTGAATTTTAACTTACTGTATCTGACCATTTGGAGAGCTCCGAATGATCATGTGGAGGACATGTGACATTCAAACACAATAGAAAGCTAATTTTACATGTACATGTTTCACATGAAATTCAAAATGTGATCAAATAATCGATTGACATTGCTGAGAGTTGAGTGATTTTGGTAGTTAGTTGTACATTTTTGTGGCAATCTCTATCAACTACAACATTTTCAAATGATTCTATGACATGCTTGAATGATATCTTGATTCGTCTTAGGAAAAAGTCCTACAGAGACTAAACAAGCATCATAACCAGCAAGCCTTGACCACAAGTATTGAAGAAGGACTAAAGTTACAAGCATTAAACAGAGCTCAAAGAGTGGTATGTCATTATATCCAGTCAAAAAGATTTCAACCACAAATTCTTAACTGGGCTCTCCAGTAATGGGTGCTATCATAGATAAAATAATGTATTGACGGTTTTCTCAAGGTTGCATGCGCATCCAAATTTAAGGGGCTTGACATGCCATGATACCGGAACAGATGTGTTATCATGCATTGCTATGATTTTTTAACGATAAGAATTTATGAAATCCATTATTCTCCTCTTTAAATATAAAACTGGCTTCTCAATTTTACTGAATTTGCATTTTTCAGTTTTGTGGTCCATCAAGTTGGATGCTCATGCAACCTTGACAATGTGGTCTATTCTTGAATAGACCAGTTTCGAGTTCCAAATTACCAGTGTGTTCCTTGATTACAGACTCATTCATGCAGGGTTCTAAGCTTCATATCAGTGTCTAAATATTCACAAATACCTTGTGTTCACTGTTGGCATTAAAGTAAAGAATGCACAACTTCAACAATACAAACACTTTGAAATTTCATGGATCTTAACTGGAACACATGAATATTCTACACAAGGTGAAGGCTAGCTCTGAGCAACAGAGAACTCAAAACTGGAGTATTGACCTATATTATTTATTTTTATTCCAGAGAAAGCGATCATCAGAAGACCAGTCTCAACCCCAACCACAGACCACTTCAGGTGAAGCAGGCAGCACAGACACTTCCACACCCACAAACCGTAAAAAAATGAAGACTACATCTGATGAATCTGATGCAAGTGAGAGTAAGTATAATTATCTAGATAAAACAGATTAAATACATGTATAAGTAGATAATCCTAATTGTTTGATCGGGGTAGCATTTAAGATCCTTTGGTGAAAAAATCTGTGGCCCTCATTCAATAGTACTATCGATAGAGTGGTTTTTTCTCATATGTGTGAGATATGTGGTCCCATTCTTACAAATACAGCATGTATTACATACCTGTAGAGTGGCATGCTGTAACATTGGAATGGCTTCCTTTTGCCGTCCAGTAATTTATACATCTACATTGCATACTAGTTACATTTAGTTACAACAGTGGTAAGTTACAGTATGGCATGGCTTCTGTATAGCTAAGATTCGCTGTCTTATTTCCCACTCTATGTCAAGACTTGTTGCACAAAGTTATCTCTGCAGAGCATGTACCTGTAAATGAAGGTTTGTTTTCTACCCTTAACAGACACAGTAGATTCCACTGGCGAAGCAAACATGGAAGCTGGTGATAACGTCAGTGTAAGTACAAGTACCTACGGTAAAAAAGCCTTGTCACAATTGAGTACTTATCATACTCATAGGACGGAAGAATTATTAGTACGGTAACCATAGCTGGAAAGATAAAAACCTAAATCTATTAAATTATTTTAACAGGAGATAGAGCTGGTGTTCAAACCACACCCAAAAGATCATGATCCTGAGACAGTGGCCCAACAGACACGTTACATCAAGACAACAGCAAATGCTTCAGGTATTAGAAATATTTTAAATCTACTATATTTTCCATCATTGGGGTTATCCCATTTTTGCTTCTCAATACTCATATTGATGGTTTTCAACCATTAAAGAATTAAATAACAAAAGACACGGCGGCCATGTTGGAGGATATACCAAAAGAATTCATTGGCAATTCTTTTGTTAAGTTCCTCCAACATGGCTGCCGTGAAAACCATCAATATGAAAAGGTAAATTTTATTGACCCCTGAAACAACCTCTGGGCTGATTGCGGTCAGGGCATGGCTGACTCACAGATCAAACCCTGAAACAACCTCTGAGCTGATCGCGGTCAGGGCACGGCTGACTCACAGATCAAACCCTGAAACAACCTCTGGGCTGATCGCGGTCAGGGCACAGCTAACTCACAGATCATATTGGAATCTATCACATTGGTTTTTGTAGAGATTTCCAGGAAAACTGGAGAACCAAGAAAAAAAATTAAATCAAAGGAGCTAGAGACCTAGCATTTTAATGTCTACTCAAATGTGATGCCAAGTTCAGGAATCAAACCTGGAATCCACAATTTCCCATACATCGGTTCATTGGTCAAACACAAAGCATTCAGTCTAGGCTGCAAGGTTCAAGTTTGGATTTAATCCTTTGAAAGTACATGTACCTTGGCGCCTTGCTTGAGTGCTTTGTGACATGAGAAGCAAATGCATTGCTGCTATGCCACTTGTGATTCTCTAATGAACTTGTCACAATTACATGTAAATAACCTTTGAAATTCAACATTCTTGATTTCAGTTGACCATTTAGCAAAGTATCTGGCAATGAGACTAGCACTAGAATCAAAAACAAATGAAGGTAATCAAGACATCTATACTTAAGAAATTATTTATTCTTGCTATTTATTTTATTTTATTTTATTTTATTTTATTTTATTTTATTTTATTTTTGTTAAATCAGTAGGCACCAGCAATGGCCAAGAACCGCTAACTGAAAATACAAACTTTACCATCTATATTGCTAGCACACCAGGGCAGTATACTGTAAGTATATCGTGAAGGAAACAAACTGATTACTGTAGTGTATCTACATATGTAGATCAACATAATATTGTGAACCATTTGCTATCTCCTTCCAATGGTTTTCTCTGCTTCTTAGGGGGTTTGGGGTATCCTGGAAGTGCTACTTCTGTGAGAAGAGTACTTATGTCAGGGGCTGATCCAGGATTTTGTTCAGGGAGGGGTGCTGCGCACAATGTTAACCCAGGGAGGGGTGCACCCCTTAGAATCAAAGGCAAGAAACAAAATTGGTTATCTTCAAAGTAGGAGCACAAAGTACATGTAACCAGGGAGGGGTGCTCACCCCCTGCACCCCTCCCCTGGATCTGCCCCTGTATGTTTGGGACACTGAGTCCGCACTGTATATCTTATTTTTACATTTTTCCTATTTTTTAGCAATTAGCTGGATCCATGAGCTTGGAGCATGTGAATGAAAAGGTTGGTAAAAACAAAAAGAATCATCAAACATCCAATGCATAAATATTATATTTCACTATTCCTTATTCCTTCCTTTCTCACCCTATCCCTCCTCTAACTTCTCCCTAAAACATTATTGTTATTCATTTTTGTTTCTTGTTTTCTTGTTTCTTGTTTCTCATTTACTAGTACTGGAAGGTAAACAAGCCTTTGGAGATGTACTACGCTGTTGCTGCTAAACAGAGCTAATCAAACCATGGCTACTTTGAAATATAAATGTATGACCAAGTGCAGCAAATATAAACAAGAACACTATCTTCAATAGAATGGCCAAGCTGGGCCAAATACTTCACGCCACAGGGACTGCAGAGTATAGTTTTGCCTGAGGGAGCTACGTGTAATTGTAATGATTGGGAGGGGGAGGGGCTAAAATGATGTAATGCTATGTCTTGACATGCATGCATACATGTATATGTATGATTCTGAAATATTGGCCAGGGAGGGGCACAAGCCTCCACATGCCTTCCTTCTTTCTCGTTAAGAATGCTTGAAATGGATTAGTATAGAATATCTTTAGACCCATTGCGGCACATTGGAATGCAGCTCAACTTGGAAGACATAACAATTCTTCATTTGCACATGATGTCATAGTCGCCATGTTGGATGAATTCGACAAAAGCATTGTCAGTAAATTCTTTTGTTTTATCATGCAGCATGGCTGCCGTGTGTTTTGTTATTTCACTCCCTTAGGAATTACTGAAAACAAGCAATGGGTTTCCAATTCTCAGGAGATTGAAATTCTTTTGTTTTGTCTTTCAAATTGAGCTGCTACGACATCACATGCAAGGGGTCTATGAGTAATAGAGTAAATGAAAAACAAAAAACAAATACAAAAGAATAAATGGATGTAATTGAATTTTAAGTTGAACCATTACTAGTAGTCTTCTAGTAGTGGGTTCATGGATTGTATGAAGGGCCATGTGGCCTACTCTGTGATTCCTACAACATAACAGATATGGGAGTCTAGGCAATCACCCTCTCACCCTCTGTCTTTTTCTGTGAATAATGTCAAAAAACGAATGCAAGGGAGACTAGTCTTTCTTTAGTTCTTCAGTCAGTTGGAGATGGAAAAATAAGTTGGGATCCCTGTGTTAGGATGACCTTGACATGTGTCCAAGATGGCGGACGAGGGTGACTTTGCAAACTCAAACATTCAACCTTTAAAAAAAGAAAATTTACTGCATAAATTAAGAAGATAGCTTATCTTTCGTAGAGAAGCTGATTTCTAGTTTATTGTCTATGGGTTACATCATTTAAGAATTTTAGTATGTAGTGGTTTTCGTTTGTTTTCGAAAGTCTTCAGCTTCTTCGTAATGCTCATGGAGGAAGGCTACGCATGGTCTGCCGCGGTTTGGATCAACGACCATATCTTAGAGCTTGGCCTAACAGCATTCTACTCGTTGTGTATATTGACCATTTTTGCTGTCATTAACAAACGGTTTTTACTAAAGAAACGACAAGAAGATAAAGAAAAACCCACGGAATTGCCTCAAGAATCTAATGGACGGAAGCTATGTAGAATAGAGAGTTCTGTTGACCATCTGCACAAGTATGGTGGATCGATAGGTGCTTATGTGCTATTGCTAAATTCAAAGGTTTACTTAAATCCCAATATGGTAAAGAACGCTTTGGTTTATCTCACAAATAGACATGAAATTTTACGAATTAAGATATCGCGAAAAAAGACAAAGATACAAGGAAATAAGAAAATAATTAAAGAATTCAAAGCGATGGAAAACTCAGACTTTGCAGAATTCCTTCTTAAACTCAAGGCCACTACTTCAGATCAGTGGCTGTCTGTGTTTGAGAGGGAGTTAATGAAACAGTTTCCCGAGGAGGGTCCCCTGTGGAGATTTGTCATGCTGAAGGAGCAATTTCATCCCAAGGAAGGGGTATACAGTAATGCTTTTGTCTTTTCGGCACATCACCTTGTTTGTGATTTTGAGTCAGGTTTCAACTTCTTCAGTGATTTTCTGGACTACCTCAACTCAAGCATTCAAGATAGTAGTTTATCCAAGCCAGACTTTGATGTAAAATTTCCCTTACAACTGTCTTTCTCACACTTATTAGGGAATTGTATGTCAATGTCACAGCCATTGATTGCAGTTACAGCAGCAAAAGTTTTCGTGATGAAGATGATTGAAAAGATAAGGCCCAAGCCAACATACAAGAACCCTTTCACTTCAACATTTCATCCTACCATCACTAAAAACCCTACAATTCAAAAGAAAACGTGTTTGATCCCAAGATCTTTAACCAAAGAAGAAACACTAAACCTCATCAAGTTGTGTAAAGCTAACAAGTGTACTGTTTATGGTGCTGTCTCGGCAGCAACAACAATTGCTATGGCAACAATTTTGAGAAAGGGAAAGTCCACAGCACCCTTAATAATTACTTCCAGCTTTCAAGTGGATTTAAGAAAGGACTGTAATCCCAAGGTGGAACCACAAGAACTTGGCCATTACTCAATGAACTGTTCTGTCAATGTTCCATTAGCTAAAGATATCACTTTGCCATTAGGTGTTAATGATGCAAGTTTTTGGTTGTTGGCGCAAGAGTGTGATAGGATTTTTCACACAGCAATAACCAATAACGATCATCTTAACAGCATGAAACTAATGACTAATCTCAACATCAATCCACTGAGAAATCTTGGGGAATTAGCAAAAGATCAAGAAGCTGCTGGCCGTCAAGCATCACTGTTCCATCTTTCTAACTTAGGCAAAAAGAGCATTGTTAATTCAGATGCTATAAATTTGGAGGGGTTTTACTTTGCTTTAGCAGAGCACAATATTGGTCCTGTCTTCTCTAACAATATTGCCAGTGTTAATGGTGTCCTATATTGGGGATTTACATACTTCACTAATGTGACGACAGAGTCACAGGCAGTAGAATATGCTGATTTGGTGATGAATTGCATTAAAGGAAACTCTGTGAAGCACTGATGTATTGAATGCAGGATTGTGACATCACTGCTAATGGTATGCTGTTTGGAGATATGTATACTTTGTTACCATGGTGACAGAGGCGCAGGCCGTGGAGTATGCCAATCTAGTGATATAATAGAACAGTGGTGTGAAGTTTATTTTAAGTTGCATACAACTAGGTAGCAGTTTACATGAAAAATACATACATGTGAATATTGCTTTATTATCCACATGAAAAAAACAATGGTATAGTTGAGTATCCTTTTTGATATATGAGATTTTTTTAAATATAACCGTTGTAAGATTGTTATCTTATCTTATCAACATGCAAAAGTATGACCACATTTAATGTATTCACATACTTCTATGCTTGGGCTTTTTGCTACCTAACAAGTTTTTACACACCTTACTTGGTAAAACCAGCCAGCTTTGCATCAAAATGAGTCGGTCATACTTTTGCGCATCGAGCCTATTTTATTATTGGACAAGACTGAACAAAGTATCAGTTGCAAGCAATGCAGGGGCAGATCCAGGGGAAGAGTGCAGGGGGATGCGCACCCCTCCCTGGTTCCACTTTGTGCCCCTACTTCGAAGAAAACCAATACTGTTTTTTCTCTTTGATTTTCCCTGGGTTAACATAGTGTGCAGCACCCCTTCCTGAACAAAATCCTGATCCGCCCCTGCATTGAATCAGTTATTTGCAGATGATGATTGCACAAACAAATAGCTTATTGCAGGACACTGATATATCATGACATTTTTAAGAAGCTTCCAGAATTTACTTGTGATTTGCTTGTGCGTGATTTTTGATAGCTATTCATTTCATATTCTCTCCTGGCTTCCTCCTCTGTATGACGCAGAGATCAGTGCCATGATTACAGGAATCAGTGGTTGTTAATGTCTTTCTTAAACCATTATTTGGTGTAGCTCTTTGTCATTTTGAAACCAGAGATTTAAGGATAACGATTGAAGACTTAAACTTAAAACTGTTTATGCCAGTTCATTGGTAATAAGTTACGTAACGTATAAAATAACATACATCAATGCAATCAACCATATAAAGCTAAACTTTCATTATATTTTTATTTAAATTTTAATTAAAAGCAAGCAATAATTTCAAAATGTTTTTATAGGGTTTATACCATTAGAAATTATATTTAAAACGTAATAAAATAATGTTAAATTAAATTTGGAATAACTAAGTTTATCGGCTACATTTTTGTGCGTTATCTTTCACAGTATTCTGAGCCGTTCTTAGATCGTTCAAAGCGACCTTAAATCCAACGACCATTACAAGTACTGACGAGTTTTAAAATCGGTCCTTTGTATGTGGCTAACACTGAATCCGTAGTCGAGTTTCGATTTTTCGATCATCTTAAGTTTCAAACTACGTACGCGACCATGGTTACGAAATGACAGTTCCAAATTTTAAAAGTTAAAAACTCGAACTCGTTCTCGTGCTCATCTTCGGATCTAAAGGGGCTCCTTCCAAGTGACAAAGGGTCTTCAAGTCGCAATATTTTATGATGTCATTCACACACAAAAAAACGTAAAGTTTGTCTCTAAAAGAGATTTCATTCTTGATAAAAACATAATTCATGTATCGTGGTCAATCCTGAGGATGATTACTGTCAGATGACGGAAGTAAAAGTTCTCATTATAGGATGATGATGGTGATGGTCGTGATCACGATAATAATACTGAGACCTCTTTACTTTTAGTCTCCCTCGCATCCGTTTTTAGTGTCGGTCGTCACGCAAGGGAGCGTTGCGTGACGACCGACACTAAAAACGAATGCGAGGGAGACTACTTTACTTTGGGAGTTTTGTATTTCAAACCACGTGTCGTTCCCAAGAGCCCTATAGTATCTTTTCATTTTTGTTATAAATAAATAAGATATAAATAAAGGTTAATGAATAAATAGGATTTAGCAGTGACATTTCCACTGAGTAGCTTTTCATCCACTGAATTTCCGATTGGAATTTAGAATTTGATTTTGCGCGTTCAAACTTTCACCTTGTCATCTTAGCTGCATTTCTCTCGCGCCATCTCAGATGGAATCAAAGATTTGATTCTATTTTTGTTTAATTTACTATTCTATCAGATGCCATTCAGGAGATTGAGATAAGCCTAAACCGCAAGTCCATTCCAAACTCAAGCACACTCTTTTGCTTTGACGGTCGATCATAAATACGAAATGGCTATTTCCAAAATACTTCTCAAGCCCTACTAAGCATTTCAAATATCTCTCTATCCGATTTTTTGTGTGTTCAATATTCTTTTTTTTTTAAGAATGTTTCATTTTTCCCCCAATACTGTGTGGAGTCTTAATTTGGCCTAAGATATCCTCCTAGTCTCATAGAAGGCCTCCTAGTGCTCCGCCAATAGGAGCGTTGCAAAATACATCTATCTGCCCTATCTAAACACACTCACGTAGGGCGTGCTGCGAGGCAAATGACGAATGGCTAGCTATAAATAAATCTTACACAATGCAGCAAAAAACGACAACAACCAAATTAACTATATTGAAATAAATTTGCTCCAGCTTAAAACGAAAAACAAAAGAATGTCATCTCAAAGCACGCGTAAACTGTCTTTCCTAAACGACTTCAAAGTTTGGAAATACTCCTCTTGTTTTTGGATGTCTTTAAATAATTGCGTATAACCTTTTTTGAGGATTAATTTTAATTTTGGTGAATACAAGAATAAATGCAATTCATAAATACAATCAAATTCACGCGCGACTATTTGCATTTGAAAAAAGTATCGTAAATCCTGATTCAAAAATACGATTTTTATTCTTGATACCAATTAAGCATTTTTGAGCCAAAATGAAAATTTCCTTAATCTTTTTTCGACACTCTTGTATTTTCATCAACATTCTTATTAAACCTTCAACAGAATTTTTAATGCTAGACTTCCAACTACGAACAATGTATGAAGCTTTAATTTATTTATTGATAGAGAGCATATAACAAAGACGAAAGTGTTTGGCGAATTTTCCCTTGTCAGCCTATTTCCCTCTTATTTCCAATTAATAATTCATAGTCTGCAATTTCCTAGTTTTTTGGTCAACGTTTATGCACAAAGGGTAAATAGAGGTTGTAGTATAGTTCAGTAGTTGACAAAGATGGTTTTCGCTCGCTTGCGATCTAAAAATTGGCTCGACCTTCTCGTGGACTTCGTTGGACAATCAAATTCAATAGCTTCTCAAGTTGTGGTGATTCAAGTTGTATGGAAAAATTTTAATCTGTAGAATTGATGATAAACGCGAGTACAGAAAGCTCTGAATTGGCGAAAACGTCGAGAAAGGCAAAACTATCGTCGGATAATTTAGGGCCCAAGCTTGGGAAAAATATTAATACTTCGTTTTAAACTATATTATAAATTATTGGCCCACGTCGTACAGAAATATACTTGTAACTGAAGCTTTGTGGATACTTGATGGGTGCAAAGGAAGTGAATTATTTAAAATGGCTCAAGGACCTTCACTCTAAACGGATTCTTCTTCCAAATCAACAAGATGAAACAGGGTTGTCTCAGATCCACCATTGCGCTTATAGAGGCTATCTATCCTGCTTGAAATGGCTGGCTAAACATGGAGGAAATCTCGCTTCAAGGTATGCTAGAAAATATTTAAAAAAAATGGAAATCTAAATAATCACACCAAGTTTACATAACATCACACGCTCACGCAACAAAGACTCAAACCACTTCAAATTTCTCTGTTGAATTCTCATAGAATCGAAAAAATTTCCAGGTTTTCTTGGTGGAATTCCTTATATAAGTGTAATTTTAAAATTCTTGCAAAACTATGTTGAAAATTCCCCCAGAAAATTGAACTAATTTAGAAAATATTTTTACTTTGTACAATAATGTAAAATATGAACTAGACAATAGCCAATTATTCCCATGTCGTAAACATATTTGTTGTCCACAGTTTTGTATTTGTTCGCTTTAAAACCGAAAATTTTTGGAAAACCAAATGATACGGTAGAAGCCGAGCTTTCAATTAATATTCGTTTTAGATTTTCGCAGGATTTTCCTTCATGTTTTACTAAATTTCTATGTATTCTTCAGTTAATATCCTAAACGTCATGTTTGTTTTCCTGCCGTAAGAAAATACATTAATGGCAATATATAAATGGTTAAATTCTATAATCATCGCTCAAGCAAGCAATATCAAACTGGAGCTAGCCAATATCGAGATTCGTTGTGGTGGCCCGCGGTTGATCTTTCTTGTTATATTTTAAAAGCTGTACCGTGTTTCTAGAAGCTTCCATTTTAAATTATCTCGAGGTATTTATTTTTCAGACCCGCAGTCTTAAGACCCGTTTAAGCTTATCATTAATTTCTTTAGGGGAAAAAAACCCTGCAAATAATTAAGAGCTGGAAATTGACTGGACATGGCCTTCTTCGCGTGCAATTCTTGAAATTCTTCTCACCGCGAGACTCTTTAATCTCATTCTTCAAATTACTGTCACCAAATTCAAGCTTTAAGGAAATAAATTGTTCTATTTCTTTGTATAGAAATGACGTGATTGGAAGGTGCATTTTGAATTTTGTTTGTGCAGATTGCATCCACGCATTCTGTTTTGCAAGTTAGTAAGTAGATTCACGAACAGATTGCAAACAGAATTTTAGTTGCGTTTTTTTATTTCTTTGTTTAAGACGTTTTTAAAAATATATATATATTCAAAGGTATTATTACGCAATTGGTGCAGTCATATCATTTCCGTGAGCTAGCAAAATAGCTCGCGGTTATAGTAGCGCTTCCAGATTGTTTTAGAGCGATAATATTATTTTGGTTATTGCATTAGTTCTATCTAGTTATCTTTGCTCATAAAGGTGCGCCAAGTTTGGCGCGCAATTTTTAATTACATTTCACTACGAAATTCTGCGAGCAGACTACTTGAGGCCAGAAAAAACACCAGGAACCTTAATTTTGGGCTGATGTAAGTCAGCTAGCTCGCAGAACAGACACTGTGCTATATTTAATTCAGAATGCGCAAAATATTGTGATACTTTTATGTGCATGTGGCATACACTTATTTCAATAAAATTAGTCACCAAAAACCTAGAAAGCTGAGATCACAAAGCTTTCTTAATACAAACTGCAGCTCGATGATGCTCAGAAGAGGTGAGACTGTAACCGGTAAAAGATTCGTCTATGAACAGTTATCAAGCGGTTGAACGTGTAAAATGAATCTACCCATAATCCTTGTAGGCCTCAGCTTTATAGCTTTTCAGGTGACTAACTTTATTGAAATAAGTGTTCCTACGATTCAAACTTGCGCCTTTTTTTAGGCATTCCTGCTCAAGTTTCCAAGAATTAAGCAAACAACATTCAACAATCGTCATTTGGCGTTAAGGGCAAGACCTGCTAGCTTAGATCCTAGATAAAGGCATTGAACTCGAGTCGACTTGGAAATAATCGTAATCTAGAAAATTCAAAGATTTTTCAGTAAAAAAAGTCAAGCTTTGACTAATTTTGCAAACAATTGCGCGCAAGTTTTAACTCCTCACGAACCTGCTATTTTCTTTGCATTGAATGTATCAGTTGCTGCCGCTTTTATTTTCAACACTGGATGTCAAAATTTCACATCTTCCCAAACGACAAACAATGCATCAAAATTATATGGCGACCGATTTGAATAACTAGAGTGCTTTTCATAAACCCATGAAACAAAGTTTACTAATTAGAGTGTAATAGTCAGACAAATACAATAGAAAACAGAAAAATGTGAGTGTAAAAGTACTAAATACGCTAAAGTGTATTTCTCGGGTTTATGAAAATCACCCTATTGCATGTTCTGCACACTGACTAGCGACTGCTAGCCTCTCACACATGTGAAAACGCTTTTGTGTTTCCACGTGAACTTTATGCTAGTCAGTCGCTAGTCAGTACAGAACAATGAGTTATTCAAATTGGTCGCCATATTTCGATTCGGCGTAGGACTAGAATTTTTTTTTGAAAAACCTCCATCAAAACAAAGATATAATTTTCTTTTTAATTTGAATCTTTTGTTCGCATGAGAACTTTATAAAAATTCACGACTATCTCTATAAATTCAGAATTGTACGAGAAGATTGTGCGATATTTTGTTTAAATACACTCAACAAAAGTGAGCAACTTAATTGGGATTCTACAGAGTACAATTTGGGATTTAATTGTACTCCTCTTGTTCAATCGGAATCGAATAATTTTGTTGAGTGTATTATAAATGACGATAATACAATCGATGTAGTTTGAAGCCCTCCCACAGAAGCACACACACTGGTTTGGAATAAGAATTAAACTAAATGAGATTAAAGATTTAAAACACCTGAAGTTTGTGGCGATGACTCATGCTTGAAAAACAGCCCAAACTTTCGCAAGCGATTCAGCAAGCTTACATGTCTAATGAGAAATGCGGTGGGTTTATTCTAGCGTTTTAGTCATCCTAATATGGCATTGTTACTGACAACGATAACGAATTTTCTAATCTGTGAATCAATTTTGATTACATTTCTATTAAGTGTAGAACATTAACTCACCAGCTTCATCCCACTTCACTCAGTCCACATGACTTGACAGATGTTATGGAATAATCTAGAACAAACTGTTTGCATAATGGCGTCATTTTACTACACTATAGTTCCGAACTTGTTCTCGAATTTTCTTATTCAAATTCGTATTTCCTCCTGAGAATAGCCAGGCAATTGGTGCCAATTGACGCAACAAAAGAAAATGTGTAAATGACATGCACTATAATGCAAATGGTAATGATGAAAAGGTAAATTATACACCGTGAAAAGATGAAAAAACTTACTGACGTCTCGGGCTTTCGAAGAAATGCCCGAGGTATAAATTGGTCTTCGTTATTTTTTTTTCTTCAGTCACAAATCGCCCTCTAAGCCCTAAGGCGCATGCTTCAAATTAAAGTCTATGGGCATGCGTAGAATCAGCCATGAGCACATGCTTGAATAATGGCGGATATGGGGAAGGACTCGTCGCTGTTTCAAGTAATGAATAATATGGAGTCTAACACCCTCAACATTTTTAGCACGCTTGATTTTGCACAGACTTTGCACCATCTAATAAGGCTGACAATGTTCACGAAGAATTCTTTCGATTTTCTGCTATGAAGCCCGAGTTCACGCAGATATGCGTCTAGTTCTATGTATAAGTGTTCAGTGTTGACAGTCTATCGTTGTCGTTTGTGCAAAGACCAAAAGGAATTGTAGGTCTCGTTAATCTGAAATAAAAAGCTAAAAATATATAGCAATTAACTCTCTACATGTAGTTAGTATATTCTTTCAGATGGAAAACACTAAAAATAGAATAAATAATTATTATCAATCCTACTTTAGATGATGTCACTATGACCCACAATGCACTTTGGTCTTGGAATGCACTATTCAGTATGCAGTATTCAGTATTCAACCTTTTTTGAAATAGCTTCATTATGCATGGCCTGAGACCTCTTTACCTTGGACGTAATATATTAATGTTTTCCTATAGCAGACCACGTGTCATCCTCTTGAGAATAAGATTCTTTGTTCGAGTTTTATCTATATTCGTGTGTCTTCTCATGCGCAACTGTTAAACAAAGAAATGATACTCTAGGGAATGACACATGGTCTTGAGAATAAGATTCTTTGTTTGAGTCGTATCCATATTCATGTGTCTTC